CAGTCAACATTCGGAATGCGTCCATGCACTTAGTTTTGTTTTTAACACAAAATTTAATACAGATTCTTTGATCCATTTTTTGGAATAAACACGTGCAAGCAAAGTAGCTGCCAAAAATTCACTGAACATTCAACATGGCCGAACTTGTCGGTTTAAGTGAGAGACATGAGTATATTAATATAGGGCCACAAAAAAAAAATACAGCGTGTAATTATACAACACGCTACTGAAGTAAAACTTCTTCAAACACACAAACATACCGGGATAGGGGTTAAGGAATTGGTTTAATGGTATTATTTGTACACTGAGCTTCGCACGGGTGCAATGCTGATAGTAAATATACTATAGAATGTCTTTATATACAACAATCACATTAGACAATACAAACCGCCGCAACCGCTACGTACCTGCATTTTAAGTCTGTAATATCTTCGAAAATATTCATTTAAATTACATGCTGTAAAGGGTCATCTTGATCTATATTAAATGCACAATGTATTTAAAAGTACTTAATTGGATAAGGATTAATGATGTATTGCTTAAAATAGCTTCTTAAATAAGCCATTATTTTTCGTAAAAAGTAAAGGATAAAAAATGGTTATTGTGGGTTATCCCTAAGAGATGGACATATACGATCGCGGACTTTATTGTAGACCCTTTTAAGTTGTACAATACTGTAGTACATTATTTTGATCTATCTCGCAGGGTTCGGCCAGTGTTTGCAATATAAGAGCAAAAATATGTGTTTATTTACATCACATTAGAAACCTCTAAAATTATTAGTATTTCTCTACTATACGAGGGTGGATTGATAAGTTTCCGGCCTGACCAAGAAAAACAAGGTTTTTAAAAATTTTTTTTTTTATTTCTCAACATAATCTCCTCCAAGGCTGATACATTTCTCATAGCGGTGTTCCAGTCTATTAATGCCATCTCTATAGACTGATTCGTCAAGCTCCTCAAAATAACCATTTACAGCTTCGATTACTTCTTCATTGTCCGCAAATCTCTTACCGCCAAGCCATTTTTTGAGATTAGGGAACAGAAAATAGTCACTCGGGGCTAGGTCTGGAGAGTAAGGAGGGTGCGGCATCAATTCAAACTTTAGATCGTTGATTTTAGCCGTCGCAACGATTGACGTGTGCGCTGGTGCGTTATCGTGATGAAACAAGATTTTTTTCTTCGCCAGATGAGGTCGTTTAATTTTCACCTCGTGGCTCAAACGTTGCAATAAGTCTGCGTAGTATTGACCAGTGATAGTATTACCCTTTGCAAGGTAATCAATGTATATAATACCTCTTGCATCCCAAAAAACAGTAGCCATAACCTTGTTCGCCGAAAAAATTGTTTTTGCCTTCTTTGGAGTTGGTTCCCCTGGTCCAATCCACTGTTTAGACTGTTCTTTGGTTTCAGGAGTGTAGTGGTGGACCCACGTTTCGTCAACGGTTACGAATCGACGCAAAAATTCGCTTGGATTACGCTTATACAATGACAAATTTGCGGTAGAAATGTTTTTTCGAATCAATTTTTGGTCGACTGTTAGCAAACGCGGCACCCATCTTGCACAGAGCTTTTCCATATGCAAATGTTGGTGCAAAATATGTTGCACACGTTCATATGACATCTTACAGGTCTCAGCTATCTCACGCACTTTCAATCTGCGGTCTCCCAGCACTATTTGATGAATTTTTTCGATCATATCTGGAGTTGTGACCTCAACGGGGCGTCCTGAGCGAGGCCCATCAGAGGTGCTCACACGACCCTTTTTAAACTCGGAAACCCACTGCTTAACGGTTGAATATGACGGGGAGGATGTCCCCAGTGTTGAGTCCATCTCTTTTTTAATTTCCTTCGGCGTTAACCCCTTCAAATAAAAGTATTTGATGACAGCACGATTTTCCTGCTTTTCCATTTTTACGAAAACCACAGAGGCGTCTTGTTCAGCGTGCTGTCAAACCTACACTAGCAAGGAGATCGGGCTGAAACTATAGCTACAAGCTATCCAAGGATGGTACTATAGAATGTCACCTCAAGGTAGGCCTAGTGGCGTAATCTCTTGGTTAGGCCGGAAACTTATCAATCCACCCTCGTATGTGTTTATTTACATCATCACATTAGAAACCTCTAAAATGATCAGTATTTCTCTACTATATTATGCATGTCTTATACATGTAAACCTTCCTCTTGAATTACTCTATCTATCAAAAAGAAACGCATTAAAATCCGTTGGGCAGTTTTAAAGATCTGAGCATACATAGGGACAGACAGCGGGGGAAATGCGTTGCATGATTTCGTTACATAGCAACTAGCATGAAACGAACTTACCCTACCGTGCGTAAAGAAGTTTCACTTCAAAAAATCGAAAATCGAATATACGTAACCCATGGAAATTCAAAATTAGCAATACCTTTTGAAGGCTTCGATTGCGTACCCAGATATGGCAATTACATTCAAGTAAATGTACACACGTACATGTACATAAGTAAGTGATATTAATTGGATAATGATGGGTTAATTAAAATGATCAAATATCGCCCGAATTATAAACCTCTATCAGATGGCAATGTACAAATTTCTAAAGGAATATGAAGGACGCCTTTTGATATTGTAGCGATTGGGACTAACCCAAGAATATTTGTTTTGTCACCTGCACTGTTGACACAGGATGGATTCAAGAGGTGTCCATTGATGTAGTGAACTAGTTTTTTATTTTTACACGGTTGGTAGATGCGATTCGCAAAATATTTCGTCTGGGAAACAAAGCAAATCCGCGGAGGAATTAAACAAAACAAAGTTAGTTTATGATCCCGTCAAAACTAAATAGAAGCGTTTCCGCGTTTCCGTCGAAAGAAAATGTTGCCCTGACTCAACTCGACTCGGGTCGACTATACTCCGACTCTTTTCTGTCTTCTTAAGAGAGTTACATTATTATTCGTCCAAGTTTAAACGATGTCGTAGAAGAAAAGCTTTTGCCTCGTGAATGCCGACTTTATTACTTGAAGTTGACTTCATAACGAATTGTTAAGACGACCATTACAGAAGAAACTTCGCGCTGTTACCTTCTTTTTTCCATTTCCGACGTGAGAAAGGCGTCAAGATAAGTTCATTTACAACGGAGTAATGTACAACTGAAGCGTTTTAGTGAAAAGATTCGCGAACATGCAACGGCCAAAACAAATAAACAGCAAATAGCACATGCGAGACAGTCTTTCTCTCTCACAGTACTCAAATATTATTTAACCTGTTTCCACCTACGCTTTAAATATTTCTGCTTTTAACAACAGTGTAAGCAGAATTTAAAATTCTTTATTACTTTATAATTAACTTGATATAAACTGATTTAAACAATTTACAGAACCGAAAAGTTTTGCACTTGCGCTAGCTGTTTTTGTGGAAATAGTTCAATTTATCGTCATAAGATGATATATTCATCATAATCATGAGGTCGTCAGTCCTAAGACACCTCCACATAGATGACAAAAGTTTTAGATGTATATTAAAAAAATTTTGCAGTAGATTTATAAAATATACCTATAGCACGTTAGTTTTGTTTAATAGTTTTGCCACATGTTTTCATTATTAAAAGTTTGGTAAAAACCTTAATAGAACAATTCACAATCGATCTACGTCTGAATAAAAATTATTGTATCTTACGTAAATACTTAAAGTTGTAACTACCTATCAACATTTTTATTACAAGTAAATCATTAAAGAAAAAAAACATTTGTGGGAGTATAATTTGATAAAACTGAAGTTTAGCGAAATAATTGTTATGGCTTCTGTTTATGAAAAATATAAATTTTATTCAGGAAAATCTCAAAAGTGTTTTCCTTTTTATCAACGCTTTATTTTAATGCCTTTGTCCTTGGTCCGCAGTAATATAAGAAAGCAAACTGTTGTCAATTGTCATGCACAAATAAATCTGTAAAAAATTCCAATTTTGTATTATTTGATATCGTGGACACTGATTAAGTAAAGGCCTAAAGAATTGAATAATAATTGTTAGATACAAAATTACAAATATTGTGATGTTCGTCAAGATATTTTGTTTTACTTCAGGGGAGGTTAAGAATTTTAAAATGGACCTTTATTTGATTCGTGTACTTTTCCTTTTTTGAGTTACTTTATTATCATAGGGCACGATAGCGGATAAGGGAAGATGAGGCGGAGAAGAGGGACATAGGAAAAGTTCCCCTGTTGTGGGAAATGACTGAAACGTCCCAGAAAAAGTAATATTTAAAGATAAGATGAGAGTGTGTGCGAAAATATCAAATTTATAGGAAATATGGAGATCAATTTTTGTCTTGATTTCATTCCGTACCCCTTATCAAATCGCAGGAAATTAATTGTGTATTAAAAATAATAACATTTTATGGAATAATAACCTCAAAAGTTGATTTCGTTTAAAAAATTTCCACAGGAATTAAGGCAACTGGTTTAACTGGTTTTCGCATAATGCGGCAAGATAGCTAGTTCAAAAGGGGAAGAGGGAGGAGTTGAGGTTCCCCCCATGTGTTTCCGTTTCTCCCTCTTTCCCTTCTGCCTTCGAGTCGCAGCATACGAAAGCCGTCAAATGATTTACTCTGTGCTTTATTTAATGGGCTATCCATTATTATTATTAGATAGAAAGTAATTGTTCAATTCAAGATCGTTGTCCAGTTAATGTTAGAATACTGAAGTTGAAATCGCTTCATGGAAGAGGTCTCAATGTAGGGAGGGAATGAGGCAATATAGTACAGTATCTACTTAACATCTTGTTTATCTGATAAAGTTTCTTGGACTCAGTTTTATGACAGTATTAACGGTGACTAGGGCATACCTATACCTACATATATGGCATGAAACGACCATCGCATTGTATCCGACAAACTTTGCAAATAAGTATTATTGTACAACCGAGTATACCAACATAATTAACGTTAGTTAGTGTATAGTTTAATATTACTACATGTACGCAGATGTTTATTGGCCGTATCATAATGAGCTAAAGTTACACTTACATGTGTCAACTGGAATACTTCATAGCTGCAGAAGTAATTGAGTATTGCATCTGGACTGCCTTCTGCCTATCTCAGTTGAAGTATCTGTAAAGAAAAAACAAAGAATTTTAGAAACTTTTTAGGCACCTTATATCCCATGGTAATATCATTTTATTGTTTAAAGCATAAATTTAATACAAAATCAGATCGGTTAGTAAAGAACAATTTTGCATGTAGAATTGTTAGTTTGAGTTTACTTGTCCTCAATATCACGCGATAGGAAGTTCCGATAAAATACCTTTAGGTATATTACAAGCAATGTCTGTCTGCAATTGACTGTTTGAGCTTGTTCATTGAAGATGATACGTACAGTGGCGTAGTGTAAATTTCTGCCACTCGGAGCAAAGCCTAAATTTGCCGCCCTTCCTATTTTATTTGTTTATTTTTGAAGTGAAACTTCTTTACGCACGGTAGGGTAAGTTCGTTTCATGCGAGTTGCTGTGTAACGAAACCATGCAACGGATGTCCCCCCTCTACTCGGCCACGTAGTCGAGTTCGTAGTGGGGATCGCTTGAGCCGTGAACGCGCTTCAATGCAACGTTCGTTACAGGCAACTCCGGCATTTATAGTGTAAAATTTAAATTCATAGTGTACAAATAATACCATTAAACCAATTCCTTAACCCCTATCCTGCTATGTTTGTGTGTTCGAAGAAATTTCACTTCAGTAGCGTGTTGTATAATTCATCATCATCATAAGGTCATCAATCCTAAGACTGGTTGGACACGTACCTCCACAATTTCCTATTCTGAGCTAAACTTCGCATTTGCCTAAAAGTAGAACAGCCCACATCCTTAATTATTTGCGAACAGTAATCTAATCTAGGTCTACCTCTACCCCCTCCTAGCTCCTGTTTCTGCCTCTAATATGTCTCTGACTAGACCTTCATGCATAATTACACGTTGTATTTTTTTAGTGCTAAATGCAGATAGAATATAAAAAAGTATCTTATTTATAATACAAAGTTGAAATCTGTATTCCATCAGACGATTCGTGTTTTTGCTTTTTGGTATGTTTTTCTACAATTATTGTTACGATATCAGCCTTTATAATCGTAGATTACCTATTCAATAACGGCCTTCGTCCCTACCATAAAGTGAACTGTTAGGGTGTGACAATTCGAGTTTCAGGTTTTGCTGTTTTGGCTATGAAAAAATGTCGTTTTTACGTTTAGATGCAGAAAGGATGCACTTCACATATTTTTAACAACACAAAAATCTTGGAATTTGTACGAAACTAGACGGTAATGCTTGTTACACGACACAAATTATTAAATACTAGTGACCCGGCCCAGCTTCGCAAAGTAAAAGATAAAAATGGTTGTTGTGGGTTGTCTCTAAGAGATAGACATATACCATCACGGACTTTTTTTAGACCCTTTTAAGATTTACAATATTGTAGTGCATTATTTTGATCTATCTCGTAGGGTTCAGCCAGCGTTTGCAATGTAAGCGCAAAAAATGTGTTTATTTACGACATCACATTAGAAACCTCTAAAATTATCAGTGTTTCCCTACTATATTATGCATGTATTATACATATAAACCTTCCTCTTGAATCACT